TTAGAAGACATGGAAAGATAGCCCTAGCATACACGATTAAGGTCTTAAGGCAAACATATTCTATAATAGAGTTTTGAGTAAAAACGGAGTACATTCTAGTGAGACACAAGTTACATTTCCACACAATAAGGAGGAAAAAGATGGCAAGTCAGAAGCCCCATCACTAGTGCATGTGCCCTGTAATATGAAAGAGGCTATTGAGGAAGGAAGTGCTGGATTACGACCCTATAAATCTCGACTGCACAGTAGCCAAAGATGCTATAGAAGAATGGCTATTGGAGCAAGAAGAACCAATCCTCAATAAAAGGATGCATCAAGATGTGATCGATCCAATCAATGAGGAGGGAGGAGAGGAAAGGACGATCGGGAGACTCAACAAGAGGGAGAAGAAGATGAAGATGGGAAAGATGATGTCGCCTACGATGATGATAGAAGAGGCGACGTCAACTTCAGGGTGGCAAGTGAGAGAGAGAGGCAACACCAGGAAAGTGGTGGGCACGACGAGCATGAGGATTTGACTAGCCTTGGAGACTTAGGATTAGGGACTGTCCGAGCCACTTGTTCATTTGGTGGCCACTATCAAGTTAGCCAGATGATTGTAGACCTCATTGTCATTGCTATTGACTATAAGATTGTACTTTAGAATTAGAGTGTCCCTTTTATAATGTGGTTAAGACTCGAGCAAACTATATATTTTGTCTGTCTATGTGACTCTAATGGCATATTTTACTGCATTTAGTTGGTTGTCCAACTTCTTCAATATGAATTTGGAACTTGGAAATTGACGGGGAATCATCTAAATTTGCAGTAGAAATCAGGAAATAGAAATCACATAATCACTGAATGTTAAATTACGATTTCATCAAGTGTATACCAAAAACGATAATAAAAAAATGCCAAAGCAACCCTATTTACAAATACAAATTAACATTTTATGATTCTTCATTTCATCTATAATTTTCCTTTTCTTGGATTTTTCCCATACCTCTATGATTTTTAAACTTTGAAATCTCAATCCTTCCAACCACGGATCAAGATCCAAGCTATAGAGGATCCATATTCCCTAGCTTTGTAGTATTGTCAATGTGGTGTTAGTGTAGTAGTATGGTATAACCAGTGTTTTAAAAAACGCCGAGTCGGAAATCGCAAAAAGTGGATCGTATCGGCTAAAAAATCGGATATCGTCCGGTTCTAGAGAGAACGGGACGATTCTGTACAGAGACTCGCCGATTCACTGTACGGAATCGGCGAGTCCGAACAGTGAATCGGCGAGTCCCGTACAGATTTTTTTTTTTTTTTTTTTGTAATCCATGATAGATTTTTTTATAATTCTTGATCGATTTTTTTGTAATCCATGATCGAATTGTTTTTTTTTTTGTAATCCATTGATTGAATTTTTTGTAATCCATGATCGAAATGTTTGTTTTTTTTCTTGTAATCCATGATCGAATTTTTGTTTTTTTTTTTTGTAACCCATGATAGAATTTTTGTAATCCATGATCGAATGTTTTGTAATACTATGATCGAAATGTTTGTTTTGTTTTTGTAATCCATGATCGAAATGTTTGTTTTTTTTTGTAATCCATGATTGAATTTTTTGTTTTTTGCTTTTTTTGTAACCCATGATAGA